ACCCCACACTGTGTTTTTAAATCTGCAGCAGTCCCGCCTCTCCGTGTGTTTGGACCAATCAGCAGCTGGAACACAGAGCCTGTGACAGTTTCTGACCAATCACAGCGCTGCTTTCAGCAGCAGCAGGTCTGCTCGGCTGCAGCAGGGTCTGGTTGGTGTTATTACAGTCGTAGCCTACCAAGCAGGCAGGAAAGCAGATGATTGTGCGGTTCTGAAGACAAAATGTCTGGAAAGTGACTGCAGAACATCCGGACACACAACCATCAGGTCTGTCTTCTTCTGCCTGAGTTTCCTGCGTCTCATCAGGTAGGTCTGACTTCATGTTCCCCTCTGCTGTGTTCACTTTACAAACTGTAAACTAACATTTGTRTTTGGCTTTAAACAACTGTCTGTGCCGTTGTGGTGATTTCAGCTGATAGATGGAGGTTATATAAGTGCTGGGGTTCGGTGTGCTGACTGCAGGAAAATGGACCTGATGTTGATGAAACACAGTTTTCAGTCAGTGACAGAACCAGAACCAGAACCAGTCTGTACATCGGCTCAGACCCACAATGAGGAACTTACTCAAACCGTTTAACATGATAATTCTACATTAGATTATTGTGTAGTGACAGATGAGGCTTTAATCTGAAAGCCTCTGTTATTATCAGGAATTACTCAGCTCAATAAAACATGTCTCCTGTTCCAGTCAGCCGAGCTGCTCACACACACACAAACCGGCTTCAAATGGTCAGTTTTAATACAATACGTGTTTTAATGGTTTAAATACACATGCCGAAATCACCAGAGGAGAACAGAACAAGGCTTTAAGCTTTCTTTTTTTAAATCACTRTGAGTCCTTTCTTAGTAAAGTAGATTTTATTTAATGACACACAGTTTTTAAACTGAGTTTGGTCACGAGGTGACCACATCATTAATAGATAATGGTGAGTGCAGCTCAGCTCTTCTTCTAATCATACTGGTCACATTTATGCACAGGAGGTGTTGTAGCTAAGGTTTATTCTCAATAAATAAATAAATAAATAAATAAATAAGTCATGATTAATTGTGGTATTTAGGTGATAACAATTAATCTGACAATTAATCCCCTGGACCCCCTTATGTCCTGGTCACATGACCAATTTAGTGGGAAAGATTAGTTCATAAAAATCTGTTCCAAACTGTGTTAAAATTACAGACTTCAGGCTGTACATCAAATTTTAAATTGTGTTGATAAATAAATTACACAACTTTTTTAATGTTCATCATATTTGAAGCAGAGAGGAGCAGACTGCAGAAATCTCCAGTCAATCTGCTTGGTGGCATTAATCGTATTAATCAAGTGCCTAATAATAATGGATTAATGTTTCTCTGATGATTAATTGCACACGATATGATTATATCCAGCCCTAGTTGTAGCGACAGTGTTGGATGTGTGATCTGTTGTGGAGTAGTTACAGGATCTGAAGCAGTTTTAGACAGTGGTACAACAAGTTTAGATGAGTTACTTTATCAGCTGCAGTGGCACTAATGTTTTCACCTGTCTGTTTATGTGTCTGACTGTTAGCAAACAGACTGATTTTACCATAACTCCCAGAAAGAAAGGGATTATTGTAGATTATTGTATTGTATTTGCAGCTTTACACTCTCAGAGTTTTCACAAATTATTAAAACCCCCAAATTTTGGATGTGTTCAAAAGAAGATCCAGAATCACTAGTTGCTAATTACAGTACATTTTTTACATGTTAGGAAAGATACACAAACAGTTTAAATTAGGCCACAATGTTAAAAAAACAGTGGGAAACTCTGGAGGACCAATAACTAATGAGTGTCTAAGTGTGTCTAAGTGTGTCTAAGTGTGTCTAAGTGTGTCTCTGTCCTGTGCTGGGGTGACAACCTCTGGATTTACCTTTAAAATAAAAAAGTTTAGTAATGTTCAGCTTTACAAACAGAAGTACAACCCCATCTCCCCCTTAATAAATACTCATTAGTGGTACTGGCAGTGTGTACATGTAGAGTTGTTTGTTTTTTCAATGGCAAACTTCGAGCAAACTCCTCATCACACAAGTACAATTCTTCCTCTGTAGCTGTGTTTCCATTCACCATGAAAATGTGCAAATTAGAATTCCAAAAATAAATTTTCTCAATAGAAACACGTCAATTTAAAAAAAATTACGTTTTTCAACAAAATGTTTTTGCACTAGGATGAGGTGGTTTTTCAG